ACATAATCGAAAACCTATATTCGGAGTATTTTTTTTTGCTTTTCAGCGAAAAATGTACTACATGAAGTTTCTTCCTTAAAAGGCCTCGGGTCTTTCAAGGAAGGCAAATCTAGAAATTGCTTAGATACCAATGTGAAGAGGGCACGTCGGGGTGCAAACCCTGCGAAAAAAATTCCCTCTAAAAAGTTCGCTAATTTGTCCTTAATTTCGTAGGCTAAATCTGGGCTGAAAAAGTACCTAGGAACATCACTTTTCCACGTTGGCATGTGCCCCCGACTGTCGTCTATTGAACCCTGAAAACCGCAGCTTGCTACGACTTTCCGTTCAAAAGTTATAAGCTTTTCTTCCACGCGCTTTCTTTAAAAATTCCGATAGTAGTTAACTTTAGATTTCTCCTAACGTTCATCAGTTCTGTCAATTAACAACTTTTCAACACAGAAATAATTTGTCGTTCATTTCTATAAGTTCAAAATCCGGATCATCCCTTTGAGAGAGCAATTTCAACTTTTTTAATTTTAAATTTCAAATGTTTTAACACCCTGTACTCAGGCACGGTGCAAATAGACGAGGTGGTGTGGAAGTGCTCCTTCCTGCCTTTCGAGTTTTCCTCGATTTCGAGGAAACTGGCGCTTCAGCCATCTTCAGTTTCGGGAAAACCTTTGTCTCATCTTTCTTCGATTTTGAAGATTTTTCGGTTTCAACAGTCTCCACCCAAGCGTCAAAAAAATCTAGTATTGCCCGATTCATCTAGATTACTAGGTTTTTGCAACTACTGTGCAGCGACAGTGGAAATCTAGTTATTGGGCGATTGCTAGATTTTTTCTAGTTGCAACTATCGATTTATCGTCCAATAGATGGCAACGAGTCGTGTATCGCCCAATTATAGACGAAATGTATCTAGATTTTTTGTGATGTTTGCCTGGGCACTCTCACAGATTTCGGCAAAATTTTGCCCAGCTATGATTTTTTGTAACACTCCATCTCGCTTTAACCTCTTCGTGCCGCCCTTTAGTGTACCATATGGAATTGTTCGACTTCTGAAAACATAGAATCGTGTAATCAGCCAATTGATCACTATGATAATTGAAATAAATACTTCAAGAGAAACATTTATTCTAAAGTGTGAAAAGATGAGCCATGGAAACCTGAACTGCTAATATGTTTGTCCGTGCTTCCGTATTGGCCAGAACTAATCACAATCAAAAATCGACCTACTCGCAATGAAGAAACTTTTTCTCCTCAGTAAAAATCGAAATAAATTGATTTTCCGATTAATCAGATGGTTTCATTGATTATTACGGACAGTCAGTTTTTTTCACAGTATATTTTATATAGACGTTTTTTAGTCAATTATTGGCTCTCAAGATTGAATTTTAGCGAGGCGCAATTTTAAGTGCTGAACTTGTTAAAATATGTAATGATTGATCGATGCAATTGATGATTAAAGTAAAAACATGTTGTTTCTATTACAGTGGAGGAAAAATACTAAAGCTAAATTTCGTGCATTCATGGCTGCAGCTGTTGCAAATACAAATGGCGATGGTTTGAATACATATCTTTTACTTGGACCCATTGGTACGGGTGCCTTTAGAAACGATGCATCGGAAATTGGATATGTCTTTCGTAAAGTACTCCAATCACCAATGATGGGTTCGACAGGACCAATTCGTAAGGCTTTCGGCAATATTTGGTTTGTTTCTACTGGTGGGTGGAAGAACGAGTTGTTCCAAGCAATTCTATCTGATCTAGATTAATCTGATATCTGAAACTCTTTAATCTATTTTTTTCTGAAAATTTGTTGTCTTCTGTTAAAGCATGACAAATAAAACCAAGAAAGCAACCATAGAATATGTCGACAGTTTACTACTAGAAACAAATCACAATCACTCCTATGTATTAGTTTTCAAATATATGTTCACAAGCAACAATCAACGGAAATCATGCAAAATAGAAACAAAAGAAAGTCTAACAAATCGATTAGGCTGACCAATGAGAAAAAGGATGTAGTCATCATCTCAGTTAAGATAATCTATTGAAAAAGTGTACTGAGGAATTTTTCAATAGATTAACCTTTTAGACAAAATGACGGATTGACCAATCAGAAG